AACTTTACGCTGTGTTACGCTGGCAATGTTTTAAAGCTGGGATTGTGTCGTTGAGTCTTGTGAAAGCTGAAATTGTACGCCTGTTATGTGTGTATTCTGTTTAAACTGAGGTCAGAACGGACGGAGGTTCGGTTCTGTGGACCGGTTCGGTTCTGAAAAAGTTCGAACGAGTTGTTTAAATAGTTTAAAAGACGTTTCTGAGACCGGAGTAACAGACTCCGTACAGCTCAGAGTTAATCGTTACAAATTTTAACAGGAAAAGTGCATTTTGACAGTTTACAAGACGAAAAAGTGGACGCTAATCTAGCATGCTAGCTGCTTTGACGCTTTCGTGATTTGTTGGATATTGCTGCTGTGGAGCGCTCTGATTTGCTGAGGAGGGTGAATGCGTGCCTACGTAACTTCCTCTCAACCCTGCGCTGCTTTTTCATTGGTGATTTCAGTCACGTGACCCGGAAGTGAAAATTCGTTTTCATAGGGAAATAAAATCAGCTTTTTAAAGCTGAAAAGCGCTGTAAAGCTGTGTTCTGACACGCTGTCTAAGTCTTCGAAGTCTAATTGCTAAAATTTTGCCACGTTTGTGTAAAAAATTCGTTCAGAAACGTTGATTTTAACCGGGTTTAGCCGAAGCTTACTTTAAGCTAAGCGGCTAACAACAGGATGTCAACCGAACGCCACAGGAAGTTATAGCTCCCCTAGTGGACAACACAAACAGTGTCGGAGTTAAAATTGTTGAGGTTGTACTGACATCTTCTGGAGAAGACGTGGGATCACATGTTTCACTTCGTTTTTAGGTTATTTTAGTGAAATTAAACGTGTTTTCTTTTTAAAGGCATTTTTGAGTTATTAACCGTTCCTCAAAGTTGAATAAACTCTGTTATCTTGCATTTGAAAAGTTATGAAGGTATTTATGCAGAGAGCATTTACCGAACAAATTTTTATTCACTGATAAATCCTTGAGAAACAGGTACAAAATAAAAATTTAGAAGCTTTTAAATAAGATACAGTTACAGATATTCACAAAGTTGGAAAAAGTTTGCTCATTTGCTAGAAGATAACGCACGTTTAATTGATAAATCACTAAATAAGAGGAAACTTATCAGGAAAAAGAGATTTTTCTGATTTTCTTTTACCACCTAAACATTTACATCTCCTATTTAATTTCTAAATAGCAGATAATGGCGGACGTAGAGGTAAACACTGACCCCTTACAATCCGGAGATGCTGTCCAGACAGCTATACATATTTTAACAAATTCAATTATTGGTAAACAATTAGAGCAATTGCTAGACCTTGATGATGATCAAAGATATGAGGAGCTGCAGAGGTTGTCAAAAGCTGCTAACGTGAAGGAGGACACAAAATCCAGCCGTGAACGGTTAGCAAAAATTGCTCTGCTTCTGAAGGCGGAATTGGACCGTCTGGTTGAGCGAAATAGCTTGCTGTTCGGCGGATATGAGTCTGAAAAGGAGAGGTGTGACGAATTGTTGAATGCATCTGAGTTGCTGAAACAACAAATTCAGACTGATAGGGACCTCTCAAAGACTGAGCTGTCAGAACAGGCTCAATCATATGAGGAGAGGATTGCGGCTAAGGAACAGGCGTACCAAGCCGCGTGTGCAGATAACAATATGTTACAAGCACGATTGCAGGCCGGATTAAAGGAGCTGGACGATTGCAAGGCAGACAAGGAGATAATACTCCGAAATTGGCTGAATTTACAAGGTGAAAATCAGACGACACATAAGCGCCTGACAGCTTGTGAGGAGAAACTTGCTACAGCTACAAACCTGATTTCTGACATGGAGCAAGCTGGTTTGAGACTCAGAAACGAACAGGGTCAGCTACAACCACCCCAGACAGGTGCTGTTGCACCTCCTCCCCTTAGCCCCGTTCCAACACCCCCGCCTGGGGGGATAAGGACGGGTCTGCACCCACTTGCACCTCTTCCTCCTGACACCATGCAGTCCTCTCCACCCCCATCTCGGAGGGTGGGGACAGACCTGCACCAATATGCACCTCCTCCTACCAACCCTTATCAGCCACCCCCACCCCCACCATGGGCGGTAGGGGCAGGCCTTGACCAGTCTGCACCACCAGTCACACAAGTTAGACCGTTGATACAGTCTCCTTCAATGGATGATTTGCAGAAGATCTCAAAATATGTACAACGTTTCGTTCCCGGACCGATGGGGTCAGCTGGAACAAAAGCGTATCTCAAAGATCTGGAGTTCAGATTGGGCTCTTATCCTAATGCTACGACAGAGGATAAGATCAGTCTGATACGGCTCACTTCGGACAGAGAGGTGTTCACCTTCATCGAGCGTCTACCAGATGCAACGAAGAGGGATTACAACCTTCTGTGTGAAGCTTTGATCAGAGAATACGACCCCTGCACGGGACCTGCTGGTTTCCCAGCTGCAGACAAGGTCACGCAGGGTAAAACTGAACATCCAAAAGTTTATTACAAAAGAATCTTCCAAGCTTATTTTGGTAACAGAAATGAGACCGGAATGGAAGAAGATGATGGTTTTAAGTTTGTTTTCAGCAAAAATCTCCACTCTGATTTTAAAAAATCAGTACAAATGATGGCAAATTTCAGAGAAAAATCCATCAGTGAGATTAAGCAGTGTGCTGTGAATGTGTTTGAAGCATGTTCTCATGCTAAGACGCCCATAGAAGTGTTTCCTAGTGTAAAGGTTAAACCCCTCCCTCTTGAACTAGAAGGACGACGTGCTTCGCCGCCTCCTCCTAAGAAGAAAGAGAGGAAACAGTCTGTTCAAGCTAACAAACCGCGTCCTGAAGGTGCACGCTGGGACAAAAAGGCTCCTCTTTCAGAGGAAGACAGTGATTATCGAAAAAGGGGTGGGCGCAGGACGCAACGATATGAGAAACCATATCATCAGGGGCGGTACGTAAAGGAACCCCCGCAAGACGTACCTGACCGTCCCCCACCTCGGATGAAACGAACCGAGGCGAAAAAATCACAAAAGTTCCAGAAACAAGGCCCTACACCTCTGAGCTCGGAAGAGACAGAGAAACTACGCAGGTTGTTAGAAACTTTGAAACACACTGACACGGGAACCCAACCTGGAGCACTTTGCAGTAATGTAATTCCTATTACATCTGAGGGCGCGAATGACAACATTACAGATGTCGGTGGAACACACCAAGACGTTGCTGTTGTTGCCTCAAACAACCCCTCATCGGAAGAAGGGGGGGTAAACACACACACGAACGATGACGAGTCATCGCAAGCTGAACACTCAGAAACAGCTTCTGCTGTGCTGACGGTTCAGACAAACCAAGATTACACAGATAAGGCTGAACGCGTGAAGAAGCGTCAGAAAAAACCCAAAAGGTTTCTGTGTAACTTTATCAGAAGGGGGGTCGCCAAAAAGGCGTACCTGTCAGTAACACTCGAAGGTGTCCTCACACACGAAGCACTCTTGGACGGTGGGGCAGACATAACAATTATGTCAGCTAAACTGTTCGAGGAGCTGAGGACGGCCGCTGCCAGTGTTAACAGGATAATACCTCTCTCTGAATGTGCTATAGAAATGCAGGGTCTCTCAGAAAAGAAAACAACCCTGACAGCTATAGCAATGGTTCACATGCAGATTGGCAATATGACACTGTACCACCCGGTACACGTGACCCATGTTGACTCATTCCCATTTTTGGTTGGCCAGGATTTTATAAATCGCTTCGGCGCGATTATAGATTATGGTGATCAAACAATGTGGACAACAGTGAGCAACCCACTGCCAATCGATAC